CCGGAGATGCAGGGAACAGATAACAGACATCGCCCGCGTCGAGCTCCGGCAGCGGAGCGTCATCAAATCAACCCTCGATGTAATTTCCCATGTCCCCCTTTGGCGACTTCTGCTGCCGAAGCAAGACGATCTGTGGATCGTCGGGTCTCGAGGTACGTAAACCGTGTTTGTCTGCACCAAGCTGCACCGAGCTCGAGCATAGCGGGGTCGTACGCGCGAGAGGCAGAGCCTATGCGTGGATATGACGAAGGACAATAACGGAGCTCCAAAGCAAAGCAGAGAAACATAGACAGAGCAAGGAGACCGGGGAGTAGACAAACCTAATTGCGATTGAACCGTGTAAAAATTAGTGATGCCCTCGGGATGCAACTTGTTGGGGGGTGACACCAGGTTTTGTTGAAGGGCGACGCAAAAGGTGGGATGTCTGGCAGGTCGAGGTGGAGGAGGGGTGACTTTGCTGGTGAGGGGCAGACAAGAACATCAATCAGCCGGCGCCGGGACAGCACATAGAGCGAGCAGCGTCATGGTCGTGACAAGGGGGCCTACCTAGCCTTCGATGTGCGCCTGCCCCGCGGCACTGGTCCACTATCCCTACCTCACAGGTACCTCCCCCGAGCTCTCCCACAAAGCTGCCATAGGGCGCTTCGTTCGGTACCTTAGGTTGGTAGCGGGCAGTCATTGTGCACAGAGCTGCCCTGTGAGTGACATATGGGCCCCCGCCCCGCCCGCTTCTGGCCGAGGTCGATCCACTCGGCGTCTCTTCCAGCGAACTGGGTGGTGCGCTTGGGAACTTCCGACCTGGGGCAGTGGATGATTTGTTAGTCTTTTTTCTCGTTATATCTCAGGCGCTGGGCTGACTGAGCCAAATTCTCTCAAAGCGCTCGAGGTCGACGATGTGTGTTCGGTTGGAACCCCGGACTTCTACGGCGATGCTCACTGGATGATGCGATCACCGTCCGGAAGAATTACTACAGTCCTCCTTCTCTTTACGACATGAACATGTCAGCTTGGTGTCACCAGCAACCACCTCTGGATTTGATCTTGCCCCGTCAACCCCGTCAACTTGTATTGATGCTCTCACCTACAACGCTGACGAGCCGGGCACGTGGCGAAGGGGCCCTGGACCGTGGGGGTCATGTGTACATGTTGATGGGGGTCAAATTGTGCTTGTTCATCGGGAGAAGTAGGGAGTTTGAGCACTCGCGGCAGATCTCTCTCTCGCATGTGCATGTCCTCTTCTGCTCTGCTTTGCTGTTCGTGACCGGCTGCTCGCCAGGCGCCTCCGTTTTCGCGGGGCAGCAGCTGCGGCGCCGCACCTCGTCTACATGGATAAAACCACACGCAGCTGGTCCCTTGCCCCTCTCACACCCCAAGTCAGCAAGATATGCCCTTTCCCAAACGCCAAACACAAGGCCGGGGCCAGACAAAAACAAGTGTTGCATGCAAGAGCTGCGATCCTCTTCCTCTGTTCGCATGCCCTCTTTCGCCCCTGTCCCTCGTCTTCAATTGTTGCCGTGTCCACTGCTGCTGATCGATCTATCGGTTGTCCTGGACACTGCCGACAAAGGACGGATCCTTGATGCTGCCGCCTGCGTCGCCGAGGCCTGCAATCGGCCGGTTGTAGCTGAAGCCCTGGAACTGGTTCTGCATCGTCTGTGAAAGCATCGGTCCATCCACAAACGAGTCTTGCGGGGCTTCGTTCGTGAATTCGGGATCAAAGTTGTTTGTGTCCAGAGCATCCACCTGAAAGTCTCTTGTCAGCAATGCGTCCTCCCATGAGACAGAACCTGCACTACCGGGGGGGGGGTCGGTGGTTGAACTCACAACGCTGGGCTTGAACGCTGGCTCGTACTTGCGCTGCAGCAGCTTACGCCAGTCAATGGCGTGGAAGAAGGGGTGCGCCTTGATCTCGGCCGAGCCGTTGGCTCCAAGGCGCTCTTCCGGCTTACGGTTGAGCAGCTTGATGAGAAGGTCCTTGGCGGCAGGAGGCACAATGTCGTGGCCGGGGAAGTGAAGCGGTTCCGACAGAATCTTGCGGTACATCTCGTTGGTGTTCTCGTCATAGAAAGGAGGCAGACCCGTCAACATCTCGTACAGCAGAACTCCGAGGGTCCACCAATCCACCGTCTTCTGGTAGCCCTGGCCCATGAGCAGTTCAGGCGCCAGATATTCGGGGGTACCGCAGAATGTGTTGGTCCTGTCTTCGTCCTTCATGTCCAGCTTGCAGAGACCGAAATCGCACAAGGCAATGTGACCTTGGTAGTCGAGCAGAATGTTCTCCGGTTTCAGATCGCGGTAGATGACGTTGAACCCGTGGAGGCACTCAAGGGCACAGAGCAGTTCTGCAGTGTAGAATCGCGAGCGATTCACGTCGAATCGCTGCTCCTTCTGCAGGTGGTGAAACAGTTCGCCACCGTTGATGAAGGCGAGCACGAAATACAGCTTCGCAGGTGACTGGAAGGTGAATTTGAGGGGGACGATGAAGGGATTGTTAATCTGTGCCAGCACCGACCTCTCTGCCAGCGTGTGTGCGACTTCGGATCGGGAGATGATGTGTGCCTTGCGGATCGTTTTCACGGCGTAGATCCGGTGGGTGTCCTTCTTGCGAACCTGCATGACCTTGCCGAAGCTTCCCTTACCTACCAGCTTGAGCAATTCAAAGTCCTCAATCTGAAGCTTGCCGGCACGATTCTCGACATACTCAACGCCAATCTTGAGCTTGCCGGTGCCATATTGCACATCGGTCCACTGGACTCCGCTGTGTCCGAGGCTCCTCTCGCGATTGGCATGGTCAGCAGCGGCCGACTCGCGGTCCTTCTTGCTGGCTTTGGGGTCTTCGACAAACGATTGGCGCTCTTCGAAACGAGGGTTGATGCGGACGACGCCAAGGAAGATGTCCTGGCTGCGACCGGAGCCTGGTGCCGCCAAGGGGTTGCGCATGTAGAGGTGGATGCCGAGCTCGGTGACACGCGACACATCGAACTTGTACTGCGTGTTGCTGCCTGCCCACAGGGGGTTCTCGGGTGTACCCTCGACAGAGTTGACGAAGACTTGGACCTTATCAAAGTCGATCAGTGCATAGGGCATGTATTTTCCTGAGATGCGGCCGTGATTCGTAGGGATGCCGCCAAAGCCGCTGCCGCTCGATGTCTGAGGACGGCCGGATCCGTTGATAAAGGAGCCAGCCACTCGTTGAGAGGAGCCGGGGCGTACGGAGCCAACACCGCTGAGAGCATGTCCGGTCGATAGAGAGTTCTGGGGGTGCGAAGAGTTGAATGTGGCGCGGTGCTGTTCGGGTAGCGAGAAGCCCTGGCCTTCGTGGAGTGTGACAACGAGAATGCCGGGCTTGGGCGGCGTGACGACAGGGGCTTGCGCCATGCTTTCGGAGGCAGCTGGTGGGTGAGGGGATTAGCCCAAGGTTACAGGAAGGTGCGAGGCATGATGGTTGCTCGTGACTACAACTTCCAGGCATTGCTTGCTGCCGTAGCTAGACGTACCGATGGTGTCGCTGTTGGACAGCGGGGAAGGAGTGGCGGGGGCGGCGGCGCCCGCGCTGGCACTGGGCTGGCCCTTTTCGCCTTCAACGATGGTCGAGGTAGAGGGGGAACGGGAGAAGGTGCTGGCCAAGGGGCCCAGGTGAGTCTCCTTGAGCTTCTTGGTGAGCTTCCACGACATGATGGCGAATAGTATGGTCGACCGTCAACAGTCGACAGTGGATGTTGTTGGGCGCTCTGATGAAAGGGGGCGTTGTGGCCAAAGATGGAAAGGAGAATGTGTCGGTCGGGGGGCGGGCGGTTTTGTCAGCCCGTGTCCTCAGGTCAGTAGAATGGAAGGAGCGCAGCAGACGGCGGGTCGAGGGGGCGAATAATGCGGAACAGAATCGATTCAAGAACCTGCTTCTGGAGAATGACGAAACAGAAGCAAAGTCAAAAGGTCGGACAGATACCGGTCGGGCAGGCCAGGTGAGGTGTATTGTATCGATGGAAGGGGCTCTCCAGGGTCCCAGGTCTGGTGTTTGGCGAACCGAAGTTGAACCCCGCAAAGTGGCCAGCAGTCGACTGGTTGACTGGGCTGAACTGAGAAGGCGCGAGACCAGGACAAGGAGGACCGGGTGGAGGAGGGGTGAGTAGTGAATTTGTCCCTCGGCCGGTGTCAGACAGGCAGAAAGGTACCTGAGGGTGACCTTGGTCGGGGCAGGTACCCGACTCGGATGGCAGGCGATCCAAACACACGCGGGTCCGCTTATCTAGTGAATAGGTCCCGCGTTGAGGGAGGGGGATGAGAATTGATGTCGAGACGAGGAACAAACAGAAGAATCGGGACCGGAGGTTGAGGTGTAAGGGAGTATGGGAATGCTTCAACTTCTAGGTCTCGGGTCAGGTTTAAACCAGGGGTTTCAATGTCGTGTTGGGGGGGTGGTCTTGCCGTGCAGGAGGTGGTACGAAGCAGAGGGGGCGGTGCACCTGCTCTTCGGAGGCCAGCTGCAGTGGGAGGCACTGATCCAAGGAGCGAGTTGGTGATGGGGCAGGGGGCTGTGACAGTGGCAGTGGCGCTGTGCCCCACCTGGAATTTCAGGCTTGATCGTCTTGGATTACGAATGTTCCACGAAGAACATCGAACAATGAAGTATCCATGTACTCACAATGCCGAAAGACTAATAACCCTGTGGACGAAAGAATGCATCCCGTCAGTCTCTTCGGCTCTGCAACATGATCCGCGGGAATGAGATCCGGCCAGTCAAATCGACAGTGGTTTCAGTCATCTCTTGCGGCGGCGACACAGATACAGAATAGATACGTCGGTATCCTTGGGCACCAATGTGCACATCAGAAATAAAGGGGCACCGTCTGTGTCCCTTCAAGGTTCTTTGGATGAGAAAGGGATCGACACAGCGTAGCACATCTGAGACTCGTATCACCGTTGTGGCACACGCAATAAAAGGCAAAAACACCACGCAAAAACTACAAAAAGCTGGTACACCCTTTCGGATGTCCTACAATTGACCACAGCAGGGCTCGAACCTGCAATCTCCTGATGCCCACAGCAGATGACCTTTCATCAAGTGCTGTTCGTAGTCAGACGCCTTGCCATTGGGCCATGCGGCCTTTCTTGAAGATTGGCAAAATCTGATCGGTTCATGATCCACAGGGTGGAGGCTCGACGACGGCTCCTGTCCTAAGCTTTCCTGGGGGCTGGCCTCTGGGAGGCCTCACGAAGACGGACCTGATTCTGGAGCTGCGGGGTGTCCTCCATACAACACCTGGTCGCGGCTGTCCCTTGGCATCGTGCCAACAAAGAAAGAGCAAAAATCCATTTGAGGGCGAGGTTGATTTGTCAAATTGTTGATCGAATGCTTCCAGCGTATTCGCGCCTAGGTATCCACACATGTAGTCGTCGCGGGACGTCTGCCAGGTTTGATAGTTGCCACAGTCCGAGAGGCTCCTCACGAGGTTTACAAGCCGCAATTAGCTTTACTGCTTGGATTGGAGCTTGGATCTATCCGTGCAACTTTGAACCTTAGACTTCGATCAGGAACCAGCAGAGTTCGTGCATGTTATTTCACAGTTGGGGGTTGTTGACCTTTTCATCGGAACTCCGTTGACGATACAGACACAGCGGTACCAGAAGTGTTCGTAGACGTTCGATCATGTCGACGTCAGTCGATCAGTTTGTTTTTTACCCGTATATCCCATTTTCTCCCATTACCAGCGGTTAGCAACTGTGCTTCATGTCGGTCTTGGTTCAATTCAATCAGCGTTCCGAATTTATGATTCATGTAAACGTGTAGTCAACGACAGATACGAAACCATGTCAGAAATCGTGCCTTTTACGGTAAGTAAGGTAGCGAACAGCGGAAACGCATTCGTTTCGGCCAAAAGTGAGGGGGCTTCGTCTGCTTACTGAAATTAAGATCAATGTCCCAGATGCGCTGCTAGAGGAGACGAGAGTCAAGCTCAAGTACGCTCGTCTTGACGATGCCATGGTATCCGTTGAATGGGACGACCTTGAGATCGGCCACACCGCGTTCATGGAGCTCGTTCAGTTCTGGCGTGACGAATGTGACTGGAAGAACTACGAATGCTTCTTGAACACCTTCCATCACTTCAAAACAACCATACAGGTGCCCGGCTTTGAGGCCCTAGGTATTCACTTTACTTTACCATCGGTCATCGAGGCCAGGCGCCCGTCCGCTTCTGTTCCTACATGGCTGGTCAGTTGGGCACACAGATTCCAGGACTGTTGTGATATATGAGCTGACAGGATCAGGCCCGGCTCTTTTCTGGAGGTCCCGAAGAAATCGCCCCAGAAGTTCATTCGATTCCAGAACAAAGACTACGATGAGCGAGACCTGAAGAATATGGAGAGAATAATCTGGTTTGCCGCGCACGAGGTAGGACTTTGCCCGATACTTCTGGCTTATCTCTGTGTTGTGTTGACATCCCTTTCACGTCTTAGCGGGGCTATCAAATTATTCAGGAGACCAAGTGTGTGACGCTCGGCTATGGCCTCCACGACTCCCCAGTTACGATACTCGCATGGTTCGTGGGCAAGCTCAAAGCTTGGACGGACGATTATCCAAGAACCATGGAAGAGCTAATTAACTGGACATTCATGCACTATCAGGGTAGTCCGAGCGCTGCGATGCAGATTTACAAAGAGGCGTTGGCTGTCGTGAACGATGATCCAGACAGCATGGCCAAACGCTACGTTTCGCAACCAGTCGGTGGTTCTGTTTTCCCTAAGGAGGTGCGTTCTCACACATCATTCCAGTTTCTGCAACTGATCATATCCTGGCAGCTATGGATGTCGCCTCGCGAGCGGATGGAGAAGACTTATAACATTCAGTTCTGGCGGCAGAAGGACAAAGGCGGGCACTTTGCTGCTTGGGAACAGCCAGAAACTCTGGTGAACGATCTGCGAGACTTCTCTGCAGCTGAGGGTCCAGTATTTGGGAAGCACTGATTACAGTCACGTATGAGCAGCAGTGGAGGAGGTCATCGGCACCAATCCTGGCATCATTTTCATGTGATCGAGTGTTCTCTTGGGGCAATTTCCAATTTCAATCTCGCAGACCATTAATTTGCAACATCTTGACAGCGTGTGCCAGTGAGGCGGCGGGTTTAGTCAGCGGAGCATCTTGTTAGGCCTCAGACACCCTGTTGCGTGTCATCAACGAGGGTGTCTAGTGCAAGCGATGTTTGGGTGGGTTTGGAGACTGAACCGAGAGAATGAACGGCTTGTCAATGACTGCTAGCATTGGATTTGTAAGAAAGATATGCATCGGACATGCCTGTTTTGTTTTCAGTCGGACCTGGATGAGAGAGAGAGACGATAAATCCTGGCATGTATGTTCTCACTCGTGCATCAATTTTGGCGCCAAGCACCAAACACAACGCGCTTGTCGGCGTCCCCAGAAACTAGCTCAGGTTCTTCGACGCAAGCCGCTTGTTCATATCGATCGGTTTGCCGCGCTATGGTGATGTGTCTCGGCATCATGCCCGACAATCCGCAGGACCTGCCCCAACATGACGTCGTGTATGCATCTCATGTCAACGATGTTGACGAGATTCAGCGAAGATTCTCCTGAGTTAGTAAGATGTGTCATGTATGTTATAGTATATAGAGATCTCACATACTCGTGTGACATATTCGGTGATCAACAAGCCCACTGGAGCGATCGCGATTCTCAACTGCGGTTTACAGACATCCCCACCTCGCACAATACCCACCATGGCTTCGCTACAGGGAAAGACGGCATTCATCGTAAGCCATGATGATTCGACACGTGTGTTCTCCCGCTGACGCCGCAGCAGACAGGTGCCTCCATGGGCATCGGAAAAGCCATTGCTCTAGTCTTAGCAGGCGCCGGGGCAAATGTCGCATTGGTATCCAGAAGTAAAGTGAGCAGACCAGACAATCGGGACGAGGCCCATGAGACTGACGCAACATGAAGGACAAGTTGGAGGCCGTTCGAGACAGTATCGCCGAAAAAGCACCAAAGGTCAAAGTCGGCGTTTACGCCGTCGACATCCAGAACCACGAAGAGGTCGACAATGCCGTCAAGCAAGCGATTGCTGACCTCGGCGAGATTGACATCCTCATCAATAATGTGAGAGCCATGAAAGAAATCCGCCCGCGAAGCGACTGCCTCCTGTAGCTGACAAATCCACAGGCAGGTCTCGCGCTCGGAGCACCAGCACGCTTCTGGGAGCTCCCTGTCGACGCCGTCTCTCAAATGTCCGGTACGAACGTGAATGGCGTCATGTTCACAACTCATTCGGTACTAAATCGCAGTATGTGGCCGCAGAAGCGGGGCACCATCCTCAACGTCTCCTCAGTCACTGGCCTCGAGTGCCCTCCCTTCAACGGCGAGGCCGTCTACCACGCGAGCAAGGCGTTCCTCGAGGGCTTCAGTAACAGCCTGCGAAACGAGACTGCTGGCTCGAACATTAGGGTTCTGGTGTTGCGGCCTGGCGTTGTGAACACACATTTCCATCTGCAACGGGTGCAGTATGATAAGGACGCCATGGAGGACTTTTACCAAGGGTATGATCCTCTCGTTGCCGAGGACTTGGCGCAGTCGGCACTTTACATGTTGAGCTTGCCAGGCCACGTTTCGATAAAGGCTTTGGATTGCGTACCGACGGCACAGCGGGCTTTGACCAACTTTGATCGGGAATGGAAGTTGAGGCAAGAATAGGATTCTCGTTCATATAGTGCTTGCGACGCTGGAATACAGTAGGCTGAATATGCATCAAGGGAACAGTTTAAGGTGACCTGGCTCCGACCACAGGACGCGTGGCGTGTAACGTGTCACGTTTGCTCCCATAAGTTTCTGACAGTGGCATGTCGGTTGCAAGGCCGGGAACCATAGATATGTCCACTTATTTCAACTGCGCGTCCCGATTGACGATGGCAGACGCAGAGGAAGCAGTGAAAGATCTCGTCGGCGATACAAGCCCGCGCGGCCAGAAAACCTCTAGCTTGTCGTCGAACACCCTGCAGCATAAAGTATAGTAGGTATATAGTTACACGTAAAAGTCTACTAGCTCTCTGCAGAACGCCAAGCGGATCGATCTTTTTTCAAGTCACCCGTCATAATATAAAAAATATCCATCTGGTGTGCCAACCTCCAGTTCCTCTTCGGACATCGACCAGTCCATCAACTAGTCGTGTTGTAGTTGACTCGTGGTGTGCCAATGCCACCTGGTCGCAGCAGAGGTCTATCCTCACGAAGAACTTGGCGTTCCTCGCGGTCGTGCAGTCTCTCGAGCTCCTCCTCTGTTTCAGCGTAACGCTCTGGATGGGCCGTGTAGGGCCCGGGCAGGCCGTCCTGCCAGCCCTCGGAGTAGGTACGGATAGGGTTTGGCCTTTGAGGCTCGTCGTCATCTAAACCGTTGTTCTCAATCTCGCTTTGGTCTCGCTCTTTGGTCAACTCATAGTAGATGGCCATGCCCAGTAGGATGCCTTGCATGGTAGCCGTCAGGAGAAAGATGCCCCACGTGCTCCATCCCTCGGAACCCAACCTGAGCCACAAGTTGAACGCAAATAGATATCCGCCCGGGGTCTGAATACACATCATGGGAATGCTGAGACTGCCGACATGTTTCAAGTGATAAGTCGTCCAGATTTGAGGAATATACTGGACAGCGGCGAGCGCGGCTGCCATGACACCTAGCAGGTTGGCCCAAAAGTTAAGATGACTCTTCAATGCGACGGCAAAAACACCTGTCAGGATGATGATGATGACGGCGTGGAACACACACAGCAGCCCGACAGTGACCGCAGTGTGCCACTTGGGCGGTTCGCCAGTCAGCTCTTCTTCGGGCACATCTGCATCTTCAGATCGGAAGAAGACAAGGAAAAGAACCAGACTGGCCAAACGTTAGCGATTGCCACCAGAACATGCCGATTGAGCTAGATTGTCTGATTGTCAGAGACGTACATGAGGGCGAAGCAAAGCCACTGGACGCCCAGTTGAGCGATGCCCAGGAGACCTGCCAAGCATTCGGAAGTTTCCAGCTGACTGCAACAGGCGATGTCTTGTCGTGATGGCGGCACAGTCAGGATGTTGGCGAAACCGGAGGTGGCCGAGGTAACGCCCAGGAGAACGAACCAAGGGGAAATGCCCTCGGAAGTTCGCCTCGAAGCGATACGGTGATGTTGGGGAAGGTATGAAATCAAGAGGCCAAGAAGGATCAAACTGAGAGGGGTGCGGGTTAGTTCGGTCAGACGTAAAGGATCAGGGTGGCCAGGATGGGCGCAGAGACTCACAGAGAGAGAGATAGGTTGAAGTAGTTGGGAGACCGAAGCTCTTCGCAGCGATCCTTGGTCTGGAAGAAAGCGGGCACCGCCATGGTAGGAGAGAAGGCGGCTGCAGAATCCATCTCTCGTCTTCGATAGCGCCTGACTGTGTTGGGAAGAAGCGCCGACAACCTGCTCCAACGAACCAAGAGACAATGATGGAAGAAGTTCTAGGCCACCCACTAGGTACGGTGTGCACGACTTCCGTCCTTCAATCGCAGTTGGGCAGCCAGGGAGGAGCCAGGCAGCGCCGATCGTCTCAAAAGGCTGGGGTGTCCTGCAGCGCGGGGAGTCGGTTCGGAGGTCAGGGTCGAGGGTTGGCGGTTGTCTCGCGTCGGGGTGGGAGAGGAGCGATCGCAGGGGACGAGTCAATTCGAGCTCAGTAACGCGGGATCAGCGACGCATTTTGCGGGTTCTTGACTTGTGGATCGTGGGGATCGCGCTCTACGGTTTGGTGTGTGTAGGATGAGTCGTCGTCGACAGCTCGGTCAAGGCGCGGTGACGAGAGATGAGCATGGGAAAGTGCCATCAGCCATCAGCCTGACCAGACGAGCAGGGAAACACACATTGCTTGCCTGCCCAAGCCAAGTGCCACTGACATTCAGGCGGGATACGGCAGTAGCGCCAAGCGGCAGGGACCATCCAGTCAAGGTAGACGGTTCTGGCAAGGCCGAGAGCAGCGGCCAATCAACGAAGCTATGGCCAGCACGCGCCTTCGTGTTGAGCATGACGTCAAAGTCGACTGCCGCAAGGTTCAACGTGTAAAGGTACCTGCACCCTTCCTGTGTTATCAGGGTCCGGCTCCCCGGAGATCCACTACGAGAGGTGAAGGTGGGTATACCCTCACCGAGACTCACATAGCCCTGAAGCAAATTGTGCTTGCCATAGACGCGCCGCGACTCTTCGACCTGACCCTGCATTGTTTTCGCCAACAGCCACGACACCCCCAAGCAAACGTTGAGCGCTGGACGCTGCAATGACATCCCCTCGCAATGCGGAGAGTGGGATCGATAACAAGAATGGCCAATCTCTAGACCGTGATGCGCCAGACGCCGCCCGCGGTCTCGACTCAAAACCATCCATCGATGTAGTAGCTGCAACCGCACCACATGAGAGGAACGAGAGTCAAGAGCAACTCTCATTCTATCGTGGGGCTCAATGGACGGCAGATGGTACCACCATAGTTGCCTCTACCTCCGACAACCGCGTGTCGGCTTTTGTACTTCCAGAAAACTTGCTTGAGCCCAACGACGAAGCTCACCAACTTGGGTCCCAGAGCACACTTCACCTATCTGAACCATCTTATGCCGTCGCTCCATCACCCTTCTTCTCACTGTCTCAGTCGGCGTCCCAGACGGTGCTCACCTCATGCAAGGACCACCCCATTCAACTCCACCACTTGTTTCCCGATGAAGGGACACAGTCGCGACTAGCCAGTTACAAGCTCATTCGCCGTGAGACGGAAGAGTACATTTCCGCTGAAACCCTGCTTTGGTCTTGGCCAGGAACGCATTTCCTCGTCGGGTCTACAAATCGGCTCGACTACTTTGATATTTCGCGTCCTGGTTCTGATGGACCTATTCTCACGATTCCGACCATTCCGTCAAAACGGCACATCTCAAAGGGAGGGGGCGTTGGTATGAAGGGCATGATATCGGCGCTTTCCAGCCAAAGCACTGCTATCTCAGAGGCACCGATCATAGCTGCGGGCACGTGGACGCGGTGGTTGGGCCTCTACGACGTATCCCGATCGAACAAGGCCATTGCCAACTGGAGCGTTCGAGGCGTCGTGAATGATGAGTTCGGCTGCAAAGATGATGGCCATGGCATTGTCCAGACAATCTGGAGCCCCTGTGGACGATACTTGACCATTAATGAGCGACAGGCGAGTAGCATCCTAGTTTACGATGTGCGTGGATCTCGCCAGCCTGTCAGTGTCCTCATTGGCCGTGATGGGGCCACACAACAGCGCCTGAGCTGCGACGTTTTTGCAGCTTCGACCTCCAATGGGGGTTTTGAGGTGTGGGCAGGCTCGAAGGACGGTCATGTGTACGTGTGGGAAGACGTTGGCAGCCAGCAAGGTGTGCTTGACACGTCGTGGCGCTTCCAGGCTCACAACTCACCGATCGGGAGCACAATACTCCATCCCAGCGGCTCCGTGGTGGCCACATGTTCTGGGGCTTGGACCCCAGTCTCGGATGAAGAGCTCGACGAAGGGCTTGGCTCTCGGGATGAACGACAGCTGCCCACCATATCGTCAACCCGCATCACATCCGACTGCAGCATCAAGATCTGGGCCATTGGCATGAAGACAACAGGCGGCGGAGATGACGGATGCCAGCAAACTGATATACCACGTCAGAATCAGCAGCAGCATCATGCAGAGGAACATGAGCAAGTTTAATGCAGTCCCCGGCCATCCGCCAAAATACCCCGTGAGTCGAAATCTCATCTGGCAGAACATCGGAGGCGCGCATGATTGTGAAGCAGATGCTCGTGGATGAGCCTCATATTCGGATATCGACCAATTGGATCAACAAATATGGCGAGCAATCCTTCCAACAACTGTTCTGCCGGGTTCGAATACATGAACATGAAGGGGCATTATCGCCCTTCTTTTTGGTCTGGGTCTTCGGGCACCGAGCACATAGCACGTGGATTCAAACAACTCGATATCGTCATGCAATGAAGCAGACATCGATTGAGGCATTCTCGTATTACGCTACGGGCCTCAAAAGGATCTTCCTGGAATAGAGACCTCATCAAGCCCAGCCTGAGTCCTCGGCTATGCGACCCCACCAGGCCTTGCAGAATGCAGCAAAGGGTCGTCAGCACAGCATTTTCTTTGTTCTGGGCAGAATGCCATTCGGACACTCGTGACAGTAGACTAGGTCAGTGCTTACAAACGGCGTCACGTTCCGCCTCCACGGACGTCCGATGCCATTGCAAAGACGGACACCGTCTATTGCCAACAACGCGTATCAGCACGCCCATGACATCTCCGCCCAAGCCATCTCCAAGAAATTCATTGAGCAGAGCAGCGTTTTGGCCAGTCGGCATTTTCGACATCTTATTCTGCGGATCTGAGTAATCTGTCCAATTGTCAGCAAGGGCACAATGCCGACAGTGAGGCCAGCGCACATCACTAGCCAATCATGCCTGTATCAAAGCACCTCTCCATGGCCGCGTTCCTGGCTAAGACCTGCACTAGAAATTCTCACGTCCGTGCCCCGACTCTGACCTGAGTGAGCCAGCGCGTCCGAGCCAAGATCATCAGCGCCAGGGAACCGAGTGCCGAGAACTACATGCGACCTCCCTACTTCTCCTGACAAAACGCTTCCTCGACATTTCAACCGCGCCACTCTGGGCACGACGCACTGACGAAGGAAGTTCAGGCCACTGTGCTAGCTTGCGGTCATGGCCCTCCACCGTTTTCCAAGCGAGCTAACTGACCACGCATTGGTACTATGTCCTCAGCCACAGCACCCATGGCCACGGGATGAGGTAGCTCCTCACGTCTGCTGAGTCGAGTAGTCTCGGCTCTTTGAGTGCAGATACCCCTGAGTCCAGCGTTCGGAGCTTTTCCAGGTCGGGCGAGGCATGGCTCGGCCAGGCCTGCATGATGTGTCTTGTGTTCGCCTTCTTGCAATGGCTACCGCCAAAGGACAAGTCACTAGCAGGAGCCGGATGGCGCAACTTATAAAGAGTAGTATCCAGACTCTGCCAAAGATGTTGGCAAGCAGAAGAAACACCCTGTCATAATTCCCTCCAAATCGCGTTTACTTTGTGGTCGCCCGAGGGCTTTCCGTTCATTGTCCACTTGTTCAACTTCCAAATATCACACTCATTTTCAGCCCTCTTCAATCCCACCATGAAGTTCTCCATTGTATTGGTTGTCTTGACGGCTGGTGCCTCCATTGCTCATCCGGGTATGAGCAAGGCAATGGCTGATATTCAAGAGATTCAATCACGAAATGGCCGCTCCGGACCCTCGACCGAGATCATCGGCGACCTGGTGGGCCTTGACGACAGGCGGCTGACTGCCACCGGCCGAGATATCAAGAACATCCTAAGCGGCCGCGGTAACCCCCAAAATACCGTGGCTAGCTACTGGCTGGGTGCCCCTCGTCTTGGGGGCCTCTTCTGCCGCATGGACCAGTGTTGTGTGTGGAAACACATTGCCAACGAGATGCGCGGCATGATGATCGGAGATGCAGGTCGGTGCAACAATCTTGCCCGTGCCTCCATCCGTCTTGGCTTCCACGACGCCGCCACCTGGTCCAAGGACACCGGAGGCACCGGTGCCGACGGGTCGATCGTCCTGACGGCCGAATGTGCCCGCGTTCCCGAAAATAACGGACTTGCTGAGGTTTGCGCTCAAATGAAGACGTGGCACGACAAGTACAAGGGCTACGGCGTCTCCATGGCCGACCTCATCCAGTTCGCCGCCAACGTAGCCACCGTGTCGTGCCCGCTCGGTCCGCGTATCAAGACTTATATCGGCCGTAAAGACAACGCCGTTGAACCCCCACGCAACCTCCTTCCTAGCCCTTTCCACAGCGCAGACCGCCTGCTCCAGCTCTTCGCCGACAAGACCTTTACAGCGGATGGCCTTATCGCCCTCATGGGCGCCCACTCCACGAGCCAGCAGCGATTCGTCAACCGTACCCGTCCCGGTGATCCCCAGGACTCCACGCCTGGCGTGTGGGATGTCAAGTACTACGGCGAGACTATTGATGCCAACGCACCCCAGCGTGTTTTCAAGTTTCAAAGCGACGTCAACCTAGCCAACGATGCACGCACACGCGCTGCCTGGGAGTCGTTCATCCCCGAGTCATCCCAGGGCGCCTGGAACCATGTACGTTGTTTTGTGCCCGCCTATATGCCGTTCGATGCTTTACCCGTACTGACCTGAGACAGGCTTACGCTGCCGAGTATGTCCGCATGTCGCTCCTCGGCGTGTACAACATCAACAGTCTCACCGATTGCACCAAGGCGCTGCCTCCGTTCCAGCGCAGCTACAGCTCGTCAGACGAGTCTGTCATCGACCGCT